AATCATCAAGTGATCCATCTTCTGTTGCCCATTCCCAGCTTCTGGCAAACAGGGGTTAGGGACACCATCCCTGACCATCCTGGCTAATAGCCATTGATGGACCTATCCTCCATGAACTTATCTAGTTCTTTTTTTAACCCTGTTATAGTAGTGATGAAGAACAGTTTGACTACATGTTGCATAAAGGAGGGTTCTGGCTGGGGTCTGCTGAGTTGCAACAGTTAATATAGGAGACAGAGAAATGTTAAAGAGATTTTTAGAAGTTGACTTTAGCTTAATTATAATTGGGTTTTGGTTTCATGTTATTTTGACTGAAAAAGATCCGACAGTGTGTTCATCTGGCACAAGTCTTCCCCACCTGTTCTTTTTCCCCCGACCACACATTAGACAAAGTAAGAGAGTGGATCATACTCTAGCAAATAGATCAATCAACCAGAGGTATGAAAAACCCTCCCTCAGCTGAAATCCAAACAAACATCTCAAGGAAAGGGGAGCTGGAGGAACCTAATATTTCTTCAGTGACATTATTGCATGGAAGGGATTCCAAAAGTAACATATGGTCTGCATTGCTGCTGACAAATAACAGATCAGATAAACACCCATCAAAGAAGGAAGAGCATGATAGTATAAATGAGCTCTATGATAGTTATCGGTCATTAGTGCCCTGCACACATGCTCCCATACAGATGCTAACAGTGGTGCTAGACTGCTACTGAAACTGAAGTTCTGCTACAAGAAGGTGTAGCTACACTACAGCCTGTGGGTCAAGTGTGACCTATAGTACAGTAACTCCTCGCTTAACGTTGTAGTTATGTTCCTGAAAAATGCTACTTTAAGCGAAACAATGTTAAGCGAATCCAATTTCCCCATAAGAATTAGTGTAAATGGGGGGGTTAGGATCCAGGGAATTTTTTTTCACCAGACAAAAAACATCATATATATACACAGTATAAATTTTAAACAAACAATTTAATACTGTACACAGCAGTGATGATTGTGAAGCTTGGCTGAGGTGGTGAAGTGAGAGGCTGGAGGAGGGTGGGATATGTCCCAGGGAATTCCTTACTGCTAAACGATGAACTAGCACTCAGCTGAGACCTCAAGAGTTAACACATTGTTGTTAATGTAGCCTCACACTCTACAAGGCAGCATGAATGGAGGAAGGGGAGACAGCATGGCAGAGACAGAGACACACACTGTATGAGAGAGAGAGAGAGACGTGCACTGCCCCTTTAAGTACACTGACCCCACTATAAGTACACTACCTTTTTAAGAGGGGTAGTCCTGTTAGTCTATATCAGCAAAAACAAGGAGGAATCCTTGTGACACCTTCTAAGGTGCCACAAGGATTCCTCCTTGTTTTTGCGTTTTTAAGTAGATCAGCAAGTTGAGACAGCAGCTGCTGCCAGCAAGCTCCCTCCATCCTGAGTGCTGTCATGTCCCCCCCTGCTCTGTGGATGGGGTAAAGGAGCGGAGGGCAGGAGCAGGGGGAGGGGGATACCCTGACATTAGCACCCCTCTTCCCCCCCGATGGAGGCTGCAAACTGTTCCATTTTACAGAAGGCAGGTGTGGTAATCAGGCACCCCATGTACAACGAATACATAAACTTCCTGGGCACTTCTTTATGAATTCATTCATTATTTCCTGCAAGATTTTTTTTTTAAACAAAATGCTTCTTGTAAATCATTTGACTGGGTTGGGCCAAATGCTATGGGCTCAGTTCCTACTGAAAGTCAGTGAGAGCATCAGTAGGAAGAACTCACAACCAGAAAGTATTTGAAAGATTTGATTAGAGGCTCTGATTTAAGTGCAGGGAATCTATTTAGTCACTGCAAATAACTCCAGTTAGTTAAGCCACAGAAATGAGCAAATCACCTCACCTGTGTCAAACCCGAAGCTTGGCACGATGTCCACTGTTCCGTGAAAGGCTCCAGCCCATGCTGAGGTAGCACTGGTGACAGTAGTAGGATCTGTCTTTGTCATGTCACACTGTGGAGCAGGAATCCTGGCTGCACGTACTGAAGGCATCAATAGGGATCCATACCGTGGGTCAAGGTGAGAGCTCGGATGGTGATGATGCATGTGTGGATGGGGGTGATGGTGATGCATGTACACATCATGCATGTGCGCATATGAAGGGCTAACCTGAGATGCTAAAGGATAATGCCAGGATTCTGATGCAGTAGAGGGAGGAGGTGGGGCAGTCTGATGAAGGCTGTGTCCTGGCCAGCTGCTAGGATCTGCTGTTGGGAAGGTGCCTGGTGCAGTGACTGGGAAGTCAGGATGGACTCCACTCAAGCATGGCGGAGGTGGAGGTTGATAAGAGCTGGTCCAAAATGAAGCTGGGAAACTGCTCCGTTGGCTTGAAATTGTTGAGCTCTCTGGAAAAAAAAAGTATAAATACTGAAAGCAATTGACAGATTAGAACTACCAGTTAAAAACAAAAACACAGCACAAGTAGTGGGTGAAGTAGCTTGCCACCAGTTTGCATTGCCCAGGAACAAGTCAGGACCTGTGGAGTAGTCCACACGATGCTCATCAAATGTCTTTCTGATCTATTCTTCCTTAAGTAACAGGTTAGATTAATATATCTCAAGGATAGCAGGAACCCTTATTATCATTTAGTTTGATCTCCTGTACATGACAAGCCATGGAATCTCACCCAGTGATTCTTGCTTCAAGCTCATAATTTCTGTCTGAACTAGAACAAATAATTTAGACAGAACCCGGTTTTCATTTAGAGACTTTGAGTGATTGAGAATCCACCACTACTGCTACAGTATAAAGCAGGGGTGGCCAACCTGAGCCTGAGAAGGAGCCAGAATTTACCAATGTACATTGCCAAAGAGCCACAGTAATACATCAGCAGCCCCCACATGAGCTCCCCCCCCCACCGCTCTCCGTACCTCCCGCCCACTGGCAGTCCCACCGATCAGCGCCTCCCCCTCCCTCCCCGCACCTCCTGATCAGCTGTTTCATGGCGTGCAAGAGGCTCGGGGGGGCGAGGAGTGAGGGCACGACAGGCTCGGGAGGGGGCGGGAAGGGGTAGAATGGGGGCAGGGCCTGTGGCAGAGCCAGGGGTTGAGCAGTGAGCACCCCCAGCACATTGGAAAGTTGGCACCTGTAGCTCCAGCCCCGGAGTTGGTGCCTATACAAGGAGCCACATATTAAACTTCTGAAGAGCCACATGTGGCTCCGGAGCCACAGGTTGGCCACCCCGGTATAAAGCTTTTCCTAGGCCGGTGAATAGAGATGTCTGAAATAGACATTTGCTACTGGTTCCGTATATGGATAATGGTAGGATAAAAGATCTTGTTAAATTGATTACCTTGTTAAACTGGTGGGGTAGATCATGCATAATACATCTTATGTTACTTCCTTATAGAATTGCAATTTGGCTCTAAGTCTAGTGTACGATTACTGTTATCCTGCAACTTTACTAAAAACAAGGTATACACCTCAAAAGCTGCATGCAAAATAAATCTGTTTTCATATTCTGAGTCCTCTCTCTGTAAAGTTACCAACAAGAACTTTAGTTTGTTACACACCTTTGGGTGAACTCCAGCTATAAAGTACTTTAATAGGACAAGCCATTTAATTGGAAGTGGATTGAAAAATCTGAAATAAAAGACCTATCTACATTCATAATTGGGGTTCAATTTATGCTTAATGAGAATTCCAATACCATTGTATCATAAAATCACATTTAAAAATTTCCGCTTTGTAAGCAGTGGTTAGTGTTTTTGATGCAGTGACTAATACCTCCAAACTACTGGCTTTCTTGTCAAAAACTCATGTTTTTAAATATCACTTAAAAGAATAGTCCCATTTTGAATAGAGGCGGTTTTGGGCCAAAGATTGAAATAGATTAAAATATGGGACTCCACCATGTTATGAAAGAACACAGTCATAAAAATATCCCATGGATGAAAAAAAGTTGGTGAAATTTTATGTTTGACTGATCAGGGAATTCTCTGTGCTCCATATAAAGTTTATAACAATACTTATATTAATTGAGAACTATTCATTTTTTACAAGGATCCCCAAAGAGACTTGGGTGAAGACTTCATTAAAAATGAATAGATGCTTCAAAAACCATTAAACTGCACTCTGCTTACTTTAAACAAAAAACGCCTTAAAAATAAAAACTGTAAAATTGCTTTGTCTGTCTGTCTGCACCATTAAGACATATTTATGGGCTGTTTCAAGGTCCGTTAGAATCCTTCTGTTGACTTCAGTGGCTTTGAATCTAGCCACTATTAATAACTTTAGCTTATTGTGTATGAAATAACTTCTATAATTGTTTTTTTTTGGCAAACACTATATGCACAAAAGCAAAAGTTACCTTCATGCCAAACTGCTTTGAATGTCACAGGGCTATTTAGTAAAATGCTCCATGTGTCTTTATTTAATACGGCTGCATTCCATTTTTTTTTGTAATCTTCTTCTAAAGCACCTGATATTAGAAGATCATAAAGTGTATCAGAAATATGACTGATGTAAGCCTCACTACACCCCTAAGACATAAGTATTATCTCCATTTTACAAATGGGCATACTGAGGTAGAGAGTTTGAATAACTTGCCTGGAGAGTTGGCAACAGAGTTTAACATTTTCTCCCACCCATATATTCTCCCCTGTGACTGTATTCCTCATTCCCAGAGCTTCATTCTCATTACTAGATAATACACCCTTATTTTATTCAGTTCATTGCCAGTATTTTGAGGAATCCATCTCTGGTTTTGGGTGTGTGTTGGAAATACTGTGGCGCTCATCAATGCTGACAGGCTCCAAATCTGAACAACCCCATAAAAGAAATAAACAAGACAAACACACACACACACACACACACACACAACACACACACACACACACACACACACACACACAAATAAATTAATGTTCAACTGCTAGGCATCTGTTGGATAATTCAGGTTACCAACAATGGGGCAAAAACCTTCAACCACTACGTTACCAATCTGGCTGAATTCATGATGGCAAAAAAAAAAGTTTTAATATAATTGATCTACAACAGGTATAGAGTAGATCAAATATCTGGTTGTTGCAATCCAGTTCCCACTGAACAAGTCCACCAATGGCAGTAGTGCCCGTTGTCAGTCAACAGTTGGCTCCTGTTGTCAGACTCAGTTGAGAGTCCCAGGGACTGAATGGTCCAGGGAGGTCTCTGGTGGACAAGGCGGTCCCTACCACTCAGGGTGGAAGTCTATCAGTGGAGGAGTTTGCAGTTCTGCTGCCCATGCTGTCACTGCTATGTGGATAAACAGGAGAACTATCAAGCCAGCATTTTTATGAGCACTATGTAAGCAAATGACACTACCAAGAAAAATGTCTATTATACATTCTATGAGCCTTTCAGTTGAGCCACATCCCAAAATAGCACACATGGGAATGTCAGTTTCCACTGTAGTTGAAAGTTGTTCTTTCCCCTCACTTTTCAGAATGAGTGAGCATAACCAATAGTCTTTACAGACACTACAAAGTCAGATACCTATGAAAGAACCTACATCCTAAGGTGGCATTTTAATGGTGAGGCAATCATTTGGGCAGGGGAGGTGTCAATTTGGCCATCTGGTTGATGTCAACCTGACACTGTCCCTATGAAAGAAAAAAAAATACCAATCATCTTACATTGGCCTCCATAAAAAACAAAACAAAACACAAACCATTTGCCAACAGATATACCACAGTTACCACAGTCATTTCCTTTTCTAAATATGAGGGGAGAGAGGTGCCAAGAGGACTGCAATATCTGAGATACCAGAGTGGTAAACTAATGGAAATTGTTAACTTTTTAATGGTGGTCAGCACGCAGTGCATTGCACTGAAAACATACCAGGCTTTCATGCTAAGAAAGGAGACAATTCTTTTTAGAATTCTCACCAGTACAATATTACTCTTTAGTTACTGCTACCTGAGAAAAACTTTCAGTTATAAAGAATAATGGGAAAAAAATACCATTAATCTTAAAAACTTCTTCCAATGTAGTCTATGCCCAAGATTTCAGGGAATTTTGAAGAACCTGTGTTATTCAGATTTCTTAAGGTCAAAAATGTCTGACACTGGTGCTAAATTAATTTTGGTTCAAACTAATAAATGATTTTCTTATAGGTTCATTTGACGTTCAAAAGGATAAGGGTTGTCACTTTGGGAAGGATGCCTTGTATTTTGCACCCTTATCCTTTTGAGTGCAAAACTCAATTCACAACTAGCGCCTCACCCCTATCTTGAAAGCAGGAGCTCTTTAAATATTTCCTGGATCCAATTGTTATGCCTCATTCAGGATTCAGAAGAGATAATGCAGGAAGAATAATGTACAATACACTCCTACCCACTCCCAAATTTTTCTATGTATCTTTCAACAAGGCAATTATAAATGCACTGCTTATTTCTTTTGCTGACCTTTCAAGGAGTTTGTTGACTAAGTAATTGAATGAAACTCCAAACTACCCTTGATTATTATTAATAATGTTAACATCTCCAACCTAACAAAGCATCAACTTCCGCCATACAAACTAATATACATTAGCTAACTAGAGCACATTAACCTTAATGAATGAACTGGAAGATTGAAATATCAGAGTGACTATCTTTTTTCCTTCTTTCAAACTAGTATGCTGAAACATTAGTTTGGGCATGACAAAAATCCCTTTCATCCTAATTTTACTTTGAAAAACAAGTATGCTACTTATTTCTCTGACTATAAACTGCAGAATCAAAGAGCTTTTTTCAGCATTCCACTGGGGCATCTTTACTCTAGCTGGGCTGGTGCAAAGGGGCCAGAAGGGATGCATACCCTCCTTTTCCTCCCCCATCCCTGGAATACTTTCAGACCAGAAGCATCTTTGCAACAGCACTGATTATATGGGGTATTCTGTGTCACAAGGCAATATTGGATGAGGCATTTTTATGCTGGGCTATTCTGTACCCCTGCAAAGCTCCATAGATACAGCTAATCAAGAATTAGTTTTGAGATTTGAAAAAAAAATCCTATTCTGCACTGGGACAAACTAAGACCTTTCAAAATGTTTATGAACTTCCTCTCCACAGAAAAACCAGACCAAAACACCACAGAATATCCTAGAGCCCAGTAATCAGGGCTTTCACCTGTGAGGTGGGAGGCCCAGAGTCCAGTCTCTGTTCCGTCTGATTTGGAGCACAGACTTGAACCCACAGTCTTCCACATCTCAGATGAGTGCCTTGACCACCAGGATTTTGGCTATTCTGGGGCACATGTGTCTGTCTGTTTCCCTCTCTCATCCCGGACTTGAGAAATCTTCCCAATTAAAGTTTTGTCAAAACTGACCCTTTACCGCAAAAAGGTTCGGTGAATTGGCATTTTTCGACACAAGAAGTTGGAAAATTCCCACCAGCTCTAGTCCTGGAACCACATAGAGGTGCTGGAGAAGGAGTGAAGGGCATATGATGCCATTGATGTGACAGGCTCTTTCCATCCAGCACAGAATGTGTGAGGTCTGCATGCAGACAGTCCCCTCTGTGCTCTGATCTTTGGGAAGTAGTGTGATCACATACTTAAAAGTTTATTGTTGGCTGGGAGGACAAGATGGCTGTTTACAAGTATTTAACTCTTCATCTTTCTTTGTAACTATGGGCTTCACCCTATTCCCATGCAAATCAATGGAAAAACTCCCATTAACTTTAATAGTGTAGGATGAAGTCCTACTTTCTTCCAGCTCCTCAATCATTTTGGCTCCTCTGCTGAACTCCCACCCATTTGTTGATGTCTTTCTGGCAAGATTGTCCTTGCGCATCATTTTCCTTTTGCCAGGGGTGTTCAAAAATCCTCTCTTTTATCAATTTCATTTCAGCAATTCCTTCTTCCAGATCATTAATTAAGATGTCAAACACGATCAGGCCCAACACAGATCCCCATGGCATCTCACTCACCCAACTTGATATGTCGCCATTTCTCACCACCCGTGGCTTACAGCCCTTCTGCCAATTTCAATACACATCACAAGATGATTTCAATTATTTTTGTCTTCAATTATATTTGTCTTCATCCACTAATTTTGTAATCCTATCAAAACAAGCAATCTAATTTGTCTGGCAAGATCTGCTCTTTATAAAACTCACACTGCTTGTTTGTTCATCCTTCGACAGACACATACTTATTTAGCGCATGTTACTATCGTATACAAACACCTCACAATCTCCATTGCATTTGTAACCCTTCTGCCAGGTGGAGCCGGCAGCAACCAGGGCTGGGTTCAATATCTAGGGGTTCCTTTTCAACAGCACAACACAGAACTGGCTCGAGCCCCCACCCAGTAACCTGGGAAAATTACACACCACCCCGATCACCTCTGAGAGGCAATATTTTCCCACTCGGAAGCACAGAGTCTGAGTGTCGAAAAGAAACTTCTAATGAAAGGAGGGAAGTCACCAGAAAATTAGGGAAAATACCACAAGCAGGATTCATAATCATAAAACGGTGAGCAGGATACCCACCCCAGCATGTGTGGGGCAGTGCCTTCTGTTCTTGAGTTCTGCAACCAACAGTTCTTTTTCTGTGCCCCTCTCTGCTCCCTCACCATACCTCACTCCCAGTGGTTGTCCTTGGTCAGTGAGGACCCAGGGTTCAGAGGTGCATCTGTGTGAGTTCACCTCCCACTCGGGGAAGAAGGCACCTTGCTTGCTCCACCATGTGAGCGCTTGTTCTGGCTGGCTGCCCTGCCAACCACTCATTCCACTTTCATAGGACTATTGCTTGCTGCTCCGGCCGGCTGACTGCCAGTTACCTTCTGCTGCCACCTGCCTCTCTGCTGTGACATCTGCAGGTCAGTCTCTTAGTGATTGTCAGCTCTTAGTGATGTTCAGCTTTTAGCAGGCTGGGCATAAATGCTGTTCCACCACAAGTGATATCAGCTCTCATTTAAGCACTTAAAATAACAAATAGGAGCCTATTTAACTCTATCTTTGAACAGTAGGGAGAAACAGATTAAACCAGACCAAGGAGCCTTAGGAAGAGTCCACACCTCCTGGCTAGGACACCTGTCCCCACCCCTCTTACTTTCACAGGGGTCTGGCATTCAAGCCCTTGGCTTAACAAGGTCCTTTCAGCTGAGGATGACCCCCTCATTTGGGACAGGTTAAGCACAGTTCTGCTCCCATTTATTCATATAATAAAGACAACATTAATAACAGCATTTCACTATCCCTGCATTCAGTACTAAAGTGATTTGTAACCAAACACCACCAAAGTTGATCACTTTGAACAACACTGGATATCTGCTGGATATCTAAGCAGAGTAGGTGTGTTCATGTAACACATGTTTGCTCCTGAAGTCTCTCCTCCTCGCAGCTAGCTATCAGGGAAGAGTTCATTCACACCCTGCTTACATATTTATGATCACAACACAGCAGCATGGAAGCACTGTACTATTATCTCCAATTTACAGGTAGGGAACTGAGACACAGAGAAACCCAATGACCCTACCCAGGGTCATACAGGAAGTCTGTGGCAGAGCAGGGAATTGAACCTGGGTCTCCTGAGTCCCTGGCTAGTGCCCTTTATCCTCTATGACCACATTTTTCAAACTTTGGGGCTTAAAGTTATGCCTTAGATCTCACAGCAGTTCCTTGTGAAGCCACATTAACTCATTCCTGTTCCTCAAAGCTTTCAATTGCCCCACTGAATGCCCGGAGGAATTTGAAAATCCTATATCCTGTATATCTTTTATTCTTGCTCCCTACCCATCAATTCCAGCCATTTACCCCCAAGAAATTCCTTGCTGCTTCCACATACTCTGGAGCAAGGGCGTATTTCCACCGCGACTAAATCAGCAAGATTCCAGCCATAATGCAGCATGTGTTGTTATAAAACAGATTGATTGCGTAAGCTAGACAGCATGTAGTCAAACTATTTCTTCTCTTACCTCTCCACAGAGGGCTTAGCCCTGGCTTGCTTTTTGAAAGGGCAGTTTCTGGGTTGAAGCTGCTGGCTTGGCTCAAAGCTCTTGAGAAGTGTTCGTCCACTACTGACCCAATGTCTCCCTGGAAGTAAGTGAAAAGGACACAGCGAGAGTTAAGGTATTCCATCTCAGTGGGCTGGTCTTTCTCATCCTCCTCTTGTTTGCTGGGAAGGGTCACCTCCAGGGACTCTTGCATCTTGTTGTAAACAGCTAACTTCTTCTGGGATTAAAAACAAAACAAAACAAGAAGACGCATAACTTGTGGCAGTTTATGAAAACACAACACCCAGTTTCCTTAAAGGAAATTACATATATTTAATATACACATTGCATAATGTCTTAAGGGTAAAGCTGGTAGAAAAAATAGGAACATTTTAATTAACATGTTCATTAAAAAACTGTCAGTGTTTTTCATAGAAAGTTTTCAAAATTTTTCAACCAGCCCCACTTCAGAGTTTCCCGTTGCTCAAGCACTCATTAAAGTCCCAGTTCTCACAGGTACTGAGCAGCCACCGCTCCATTACCTCAGCCCCTCTGAAAAAAACAAACATAACACAGATGATAACAGGTCAATCCTGAAGTCTTTATTCAGCTTCACTGCTATGAACAGGCCCCAGAGGCTGTACGTATGCACCCTAACTTTACAGAAGAGTGGGCCACACACTGTATAATTTAAAAGATTCACTTTAAATAGGTCACTTTAGAACAGATTTTGGTCATCTCCATTCCCTATTAACACCACCTCACTCGACACATACTAGCACCTTGGGATGCAATGGAACCTGTTGTAATAATTGGGCCGACAACCTAACTGCTCAACTGTAAAAAGTATGTAAATGTTCATGATATGTCACAATAACCTATAATAACAAATGTTGATGGGAAAAGGTACGAAAGGAAGACAGATCAACTAAATTAGTCTAAACAAAAAGGCCTACTGATATAACTCAATGACTGTGTTAAGATCATCTTTGATAAACAGGAAAATGTAGGTCCAAAAAAATCAGTGAACCAAAACTAGGCCTAACGGGTGGACAAAATAATAAGGGGATGGTCTTGTCCACCTGACACTCCCTTTTTGGATCCCTAAAGAAAAAAAACTCAGGGGAGGAGGAGAAGAGGAAAGAACAGACAGAGGCTGCTGGAAAGGGCATCAGCATCATGGCTGCCACCCCATCATTTCCTGGGATCCCGGAACTTTGTCATCCTGATCCGGAGAAATGTCCTATGCAAACAAGGCTGGGGCGAGGGATTCAGATGACATTGCCATCCTTACAAGCTCCAGCTGAACTCCAAATACCACCTGAGATGAAATAGGGTTGGACTTTACAACAGCACCTCCAGCCCATCTCAACTAACTTTTTCTCTTTTCCCAAGAAAGGACAGTTATTATCATCTTTGATATCATCTAAGAAACTGTCAAACAAGGGTTTTTTTTCTTCTAAAACTCTCATCTAAAGCAAAAAGAAACAAAAAATGTTGTTAAATGAAAAGACTTACTTAAAATTTTACATTTCAAATGTTTTAACTGTTTTCCCTTCTTTCCTGCATCTTTAATAAAATATTAAAATGGTGAGTTTGCCATGGTAGTAAGCAGGCTGAGGTCTCTGTCTCCCAAACCCCAGAACTTGTTTAACACTCTTTAATGTAAGACAGCGACTGGATTATGCTAACAGTTTTGGCCCATTTATTATATCTAAATTAATACACCATTTTTGGTGCCCAATGTGGGTCTTAAAGGGTTTACATACTCAAAAGCTGGCACCTTGGCAAACAAGCAATTTTATTCAAAGTTTAAAACCAAAGTTTGTTTTAAAATTCTTAAATGTGTTGGGCTTCTTTGAGATAAGCATGAAAACAAACCATTAATGTTTTTGCTTTAAAAAAAAAAGAAAGAAAAAAGCATTGACAACGGTTTTGAAGTTATTAATTTTTTTAAAAATATATCTTTAAATAAATGCTTTGTTTTTTGTTTTGTTTTGTTTTAAAGTTCATGGTTTCTGTAATTAGTAATCATTTTAAAGGTTTAATGAAAAAGTACATTTTTAAAAGAAGCAAAAAGTGGCAAAAATAAAGTGTTTTAAACTGTTGAAGTTGCTAATGCAGACTTTTACTGAAATAACACTTTCAGTAACCCTCTTGTTAACAAAACGCCAGCTTAGGTCAGGTCTGCTACTGCATTAGTTGTGAATTAAATCTCAAACCACCCTTCAAACAACAACTTAATAAGATGTCAAAACATTTTGGGTGTGCTACACCCTGGCTTGAAGGTTTTGGTTTTCCATTTTAAGCAACCCTAGAGGTTAAAATGTCTGAAACACAATAGTGTTTGATTTTTAAAATATGACAAATGAGTTTAACATAATAGTGCATGTTAAACTATACCATCCTAATGTATGTAAGACCAAGGTTCCTACCTTTAGCTGAAGGTATGCAGTATATCAGTGTCTGATTTATTCTGATTTCGCTACAGAAATGTTAATAGTTATGCCAATATGATTTTTTCCATATTTGATAAAGTAGTGCCAAGCCAATTTAAGTTCATGTAATGTTAAGAAAATTTAAAGTTTCATTTTGTTTATAACTGTGAGTTTATGAGCAAACTTCCAATTACGGGAAGAAATGGTTCATAAAGGAGATGGATTATATTGTTTTAACTGGGCCCACAAATTCACTTTAATTGTGAGTTCAACTATGAAAAGTAAGTGAAAGTTCATAAGATGTCAAAATAACCTATAACTTTGGGAATTAACTATGGAAAATAAGAACATAAGAACGGCCATACTGGGTAAGACCAGAGGTCCATCTTGCCCAGTGGCCAATGCCAACTGCTTCAGAGGGAATGAACAGAACACATAATCAAGTGATCCATCCCCTGTCGCCCATTCCCAGCTTCTGGCAAACAGAGGCGAGGGACACCATCCCTGTCCATCCTAACTAACAGCCATTGATGGACCACGAATCCTCCATGAATTTATCTAGTTCTTTTTTGAATTCTTTTATAGTCTTAGCCTTCACAACATACTCTGGCAAAGAGTTCCAGAGGTTGACTGTGAATTATGCGAAGAAATACTTCCTTTTGTTTGTTTTAAACCTGCTGCCTATTAATTTCATCTGGTGACCCCTAGTTCTTGTGTTATGAGAAAAAGTAAATAACACTTCCTTATCTACTTTCTTCACACCAGTCATGATTTTACAGACTTCTATCATATCCTCCCTTTCCAAGCTGAAAAGTTGCAGTTTTTTTAATCTCTCCTTATATGGAAACTGTTCCATACCCCTAATCATATTTGTTGCTTGTTGTTAAAATAGGCCAAGTTGTTTTCAATAATGAATGTTATGAACAAGTGCAAGAAAACTAGACAGGGAAACTAAATTAGTCCAAACAAAAAAAAAGGCCTAATGATAGGGTTCAAGAATTCTGTTGAGGTTGGACTTAATACACAAGATGATACGGGTCCAGAAATTAATGGACCAATATTGTTGTGGCAGATATCAGCTCTAATTGGTGGACAAAAAATGAGGGGATGAATTATACCACCCACTTTTCCCCTTTATGGGTTTCTTAAGAGAGACTTTGCAAAAAAAAAAAATCTACCTCATCCCATCCCAGCTCACCTTGACCCAACTTGGCTTCCCAACATGTCTCATAGAATCATAGAATATCAGGGTTGGAAGGGACCTCAGGAGGTCATCTAGTCCAACCCCCTGCTCAAAGCAGGACCAATTCCCAACTAAATCATGCCAGCCAGGGCTTTGTCAAGCCTGACCTTAAAAACCTCTAAGGAAGGAGATTCCACCACCTCCCTAGGTAACCCATTCCCGTGCTTCACCACCCTCCTAGCAGGAAAAAGTTTTTACTAATATCCAACCTAAACCTCCCCCACTGCAACTTGAGACCATTACTCCTTGTTCTGTCATCTGCTACCACTGAGAACAGTCTAGATCCATCCTCTTTGGAACCCCCTTTCGGGTAGTTGAAAGCAGCTATCAAATCCCCCCTTATTCTTCTCTTCTGCAGACTAAACAATCCCTGTTACCTCAGCCTCTCCTCATAAGTCATGTGCTCCAGCCCCCTAATCATTTTTGTTGCCCTCCGCTGGACTCTTTCCTTTTTTTGCACATCCTTCTTGTACTGTGGGGCCTAAAACTGGACACAGTACTCCAGATGAGGCCTCACCAATGTCGAATAGAGGGGAATGATCACGTCCCTTGATCTGCTGGCAATGCCCCTACTTATACAGGCCAAAATGCCATTAGCCTTCTTGGCAACAAGGGCACACTGTTGACTCATATCCAGCTTCTCGTCCACTGTAACCCCTAGGTCCTTTTCTGCAGAATCATCCCAACTCATCTCAACTAACCTTCCTCCACCCCAAGACAGAGGGAGCAGACCAGATGGAAGGATTTCCTTCCCAAGAAGTAGGCCATCATACCTTGCTCTTGTTCAAGGAACTTTGTTTTTCACCTTTGAGTCCTGGGAGTCATCATATAATAATGACATCCAGTTCTCAGTCCATCAGTGAGGATACTGAATTGTCAGGATGAAATCCTGTTCTCTCTCCCTTTCCTTTTGTGGTACTTTCTGCCCCACTGTTTTTTTCCCTCCTACCCTATCTCTCAATCTGTCCGCTTTTCACTGCGTCCTGAAATCAACTACTCTGCATGCATTATCACAGCAAGATGGGACGGCCCAGCCCTGTCTTATCTGAGGAGAAAGGACCCAGCCAGATGACATCCCTGACTGGCATGTGAGCCTGAGTCCAAGCTACAGGTGTCCTGACTAATCTGAAAGAATAAAGCATCCATTCCGAACTGACCAGCCTCCCAGTGTTTCCGAAACATCAACAAAAAGCATATTTCCCCTATCCATCTCTCTTCCACCTTTGACTGTTAAAAACAGAAGTGAATATCCTTTCACACATCAGAATTAAGAGTAAAATTAACCCTTCCTTTTCATCAAAGAAAGTTGTTAATGAAAATGAGAGATGCTTGCATTTTGCCTCCAAAAGCAGAGATTTTAATAGATTTTGATTAAGTTTGTTTTGCGTAATCACTCAATTTCAGTTTCAATATAAATGTTTGTTTTAATTTTTTTTGGGGGGGGGAGGGGAGTTGTTTGATCAATAAACTCTCAACTTTAGAATTAATGCTTCTGGGTGTTTGCCAAGAAGCTGAGTAAACCAGGACCTCTATAGAAAAACCCTGAACCCTATGTAT